AGGCCAGAGATAGGGACTTGGAGTCTTCACCCCCAGGATCCTGGCTTTCTGAACCAACCTGCTCTTCCTGGCCCAAACTCTCACTTCCTGCACCTACCCTATGAGTGGCCTCTTAGGGATGTGTTCCTTCTAACCCCAGGACCTCAGGCCACTCTCTTTGGCCTGGGCCCTGACACGAAACCCTGCCCCCGCCCTCCAGGCTGATCCACCTGTCCGTAATTCACGAGGCCCCAGCTGTGCTGCACTGTTGCCTGGCTTTTCTGCCCCAGGAGGTCCTGGACATTCAGAACAACCTTTACCAGGTGGGAAAGGGTGGGCTGTGCCCAGATACCCATATCTGCCCTGGCAGCCATGCCGAGCAGCCACACGAGTGACCTTAGGTTGCTTACTCAGGAACCCATGTACCAGACACTGAGCTAGAAGCTGAGGATACAAACATGAGTAAGGCGCAGCCTCTGCCCACAAGGTGCTCGAACCTGGTCTAGGGGACTGTGTCTACAACTAATTATACAGCATGGTGACAAGAGTTATGATGGAGACACACAGCAGCTGCTGTGGCATCCAGTCTCTGTGCGGAGCAGCCAGGGGGAGGTTAATACGAGTGGTGATGTTTGCATGGAGCCTTAAAGAGGAGTGTGCTAGTGGAGACTGCCTAGTGACTCTCTTTCCTCTCCCCAGCCCCTTTTGTCACCTAGCCCATGGGGATAACAGAGGTCTCCCTGGAGGGTGAGAAGGTAGACCCTGCCTTTATCTGTCCTTTCTCCAGGGGCTAAGAGAACCTACAGGAAGAGCAGGGGGCTGCTTTTCTCACCCTGCCTCCAGAGTAGGGGTCCTAAGAGCTTGGTGGGGGGTGACAAAGGGAAGGGCTTGGTAGTGTGGCCTTGGAAGACCAGGGCCACAGCCTCTATAAGCTGCCCTTAAGGAAGGTGTGGGCAGTTGTCAATTCCTGTGCTCACCTGCGCATGTTCCCAAAGGTGGGAGCATGCTGCAGTGGCCCCGTGACCTCTGTTTGTGCCTACAGACAGCACTCCACCTGGCTGTGCATCTGAACCAGCCAGACACAGTTCAGGCCCTTGTGCAGAAGGGGGCCAGCCGCATGCTACAGGACCGGCATGGTGACACAGCCCTGCATGTGGCCTGCCAGCGCCAGCACCTAGACTGTGCCCATTGCCTGCTGAAGGGACAGCCAGAGCCAGGCAGAGGACCATCTCACTCCCTGGACCTCCAGTTGCAAAACTGGCAAGGTACAGGCAGCCACATGGACCATGGGATGAATGAAGGGGGGACAGGAGACAAGGACCCCACCCTCAGGGGAGGAGGGTGGTAGCTTGTCCATCAATGTACCTCCAATTCTAAGAACATAGATACTCAGTACATATTTGCGGAATGAATTAATTTGATTTAGAATTTACTTAGAACATGCTATGTGCTAAACAGAGAGCTAAACCTTGCCCTCAAGATATGTATTCTGTTTAATAGAGATCATTCATTCATTCAACAAAAATGGACTGAGGGCCTCTATGTGCCAGACACTATTCTAGGAGCTGGGTCTATAGCTGTGAACAAAACAGAATGATTGAGACAGACAATAAACATAAGAAATGGGTTCTCTAGTAGGTTAAAAGGCAGTAAGTGCTGAGGGAAGGTAGAGGCAGGTGCATCTGAATCTAGTCTCTAAGCAGAGGGGAATCCAGGCCAGAAAGGAGAGCAAAAAGACTAGGGGAGTACACAGGAGGAAGTGGCCTGGGGAGCGGCTGGGGGCATGAGGAGCCCAGAGACCTCTAAAGAAGATGGCTTTGGACAGGACTTAAAGGCAGGCAGAGTTAGAGTTAGAGAGGATGGGGAAGGGAGGGTTTGGGGGGAGGGTGTATGTATGGGGGTGTCACTCAGCAACATGACCCCTGAAGCATGAAAGTTTCAATAACATGACTGAAACAGTGGAAACTTTGCATTCCCTTGCCCTCAGATTTTTGAGGGGGTTTTTGGGTTTGTGTTTTAACAGCCCTGTGATCAGAATTATTGAGTGGGCAGTGGGTCCCTTGGGACTGAGGGGTAGGGAGGTCCCTGAAGAGCAGGGGAGAGAGAGTTGGTGCATGCAGATCAGCAGCCCCTATATTCACCCCATTCCAGGTCTGACCTGTCTCCACATTGCCACCCTGCAGAGGAACCAATCACTCATGAAACTCCTTCTTGAAAATGGAGCTGACATTGATGTGCAGGTGAGGTGGCCACCCGGTCTTGCCCCCAGGTCTGCTCTCAGTGTCAGAAATGGTGGCACTCACCTTCCCCCAGGCCCAGGTCCAACGTGCTTCCTCTAGAGGGCCTTGGCTGACATCCTTATTCTCCTCCAGGAGGGCACGAGTGGGAAGACAGCACTGCACTTGGCTGTGGAGACCCAGGAGCGGGGTCTGGTGCACTTCCTGCTCCAGGCTGGGGCCCGAGTAGATGCCCGTATGCTCAATGGGTGCACACCCCTGCACCTCGCTGCAGGCCGGGGCCTCAAGAGCATCTCATCCACTCTGCGTGAGGCAGGTGCTGACTCCCTGCTGCGGAACGTGGAGGATGAGACGCCCCAAGACCTGGCTGAGGATGTGACGCCCCAGGACCTGGCTGAGGATGTAAGAGGCACACACTCTGCTCTGCTCTCCAGTCCCTCCCACACCCATAGCAGAGACAGGCGCTGTAATGGCTGAAAGAGCCAAGGGCTTAGGATCCTGGGGTGCAGTCCACGACTCCTCCACTCACCCGCTGTAGGACTGAGGCAAACTTCTGCCCCTCTCTCAGCCTGTTTTCTTAGTTGGCTCAGGCTGAGGGGGGCCCAAACTTGGACTCCTGCAGGATCCCTGCATCTAAAGTGGATTGGTGAAGCAGGGCAGATGTCAGACAGCAGGGACTGTGGCACCAGTCCCTGCCCAAAGGTCACTCCATTCAGCTTCAGCACATAGTTGCAGAGGAGGAATATGGGCCCAGTATTTCCAGCTCTTGGGGATGTTTTGAGAAATGAAAGCTAGATTTTCTCTATAATTGCCCATTTTTTTTAGTGTTTGATGTAAAAAAATATTCAAAATGTTTTGTGATTACCCTTCCTCCATCCCCACCCCCCAGAAAACCAAACCCATGGGCTGTGTTACCTCCTTGATCCTTCTTATCTGTGATATTCAGGGATTTTCTTAGAGAGTGGGGGCTAGCTGACGGCCTCATCGCTCTTGCTAGCCTAGAGGTGCCATCATTTAGGAGATTAGTAGGAGGATTTGTTCTCTGATGTTCAACTGTCAGTTGATGGGGAGAAAATGGCCCAATAGGTCTCCCCAGCTCTTTTCCCCCAACACTGCCTTTTTCCTCTGGGCCCTGACCTTGCTCCTCTCCATTTTCTTTCTTAGCCCTTTGCTCTCTTGCCCTTCGATGACCTAAAGATTTCTGGGAAGCCACTGATGTGTGCCGACTGAAGCCAGGGCAGGGTCTGGGGCCCTGGAGGCTTCACCTCTTCCCATCTGGAAGCTGGAGCCACAGTTGCTGCAGTTTGGGCCCAGGCAATGTGCCCTCTGGAGTCCTGGGGACTGCTGGGACCAGCACAGTCCTGAGCTGAGAGGAGGGATCACAAGTGAGGGAGAGCCGGCCTGGAAGGAAGAGCTTCCCAGGTGGACGGAGATTCTTGGAAGAACCCCCCACCCCTGCCAAAGCCCCAGGTATCCTGGGTGAAGTCTCTTTACCTCTCTGGAAGACGACAGGAACACTTGTTTCTACCCATGTTGGGTCACCCTGAAACTGCCAGCCAGTAGGAAAACAAGGACTCTCCTGAGTGAGGAGAGAAACTGAAATAAGAGTGAGCAGGGCCCTGAGGGCTTTCATCGCACTGCTCTTTATGACTGTTAAACACTTGTTTAAAGACTGGACACCAAAGGCCCCAGACTGAACTTTGGGGAAGGGGAAGTTTCAATAACATGACACTAAAATGGCAGAGACTTTTCAAAAGTTCCCCCCTATAGTTGTTTTGTGCAAATGTATGTCTCTGTGCATTGGGGATTTTTAGACACGCCTGCCCTGTGATCTTGTGGTAGAGGCAGAAGAAGGAAACTGTCACCTGAGCAGAATAGGACCTTGCTAGGTAGAGTAGGAGGGCTAACGGTCCTCAGGCCTCTCTGTGGACATGCAGAGGGATGGAGCGTACGAGAAATAAGGAGACTCAGGTGGGAGGCCTCACCACTGCCGGGGAGGTTGCCCTCTGGAGGAGCCTGGGGAGAAGGGTGGTGCGAGGGAGCTGTGGCTTTTTGTGTTTTTTTCTCATATTCCATCCATGGTTAGAGGCCCTGGTAGGTCAGACCTATGCTGGGATGAAGAATATGGGAATAAACCAACACAGTCTCTAGCCACTTGGAGTATACAGTTTAGTGAGTGAGGCAGCCATTGAAATCGTTCACCTGTATTTCTATATAATATATAAATATGTAATTACAAGTTGCAATGGATGCTGTGAAGGAAAGAGCAGCAGTGGGAAGAAGAACAGTGGAGTGGGTGGAGGGCCATACTTTGGGTGGTCAGGAGAGGCCTCTGTCCTTTCAACTTGAACATAAGGATGAGTAAGGGATGGGGATAGGCGAATTAGAGGAACTGAGAACAGGCCAGTGGGGTTCTACTGGGGATGGGTGAGTGGGCGAGGAAGACTAGGGTCCCGTCACGCAAGAGCCTTGAGGGGTGCATGGAGCATGGGAGGACAATTGCTGTCCCAACCAAAAAAAGACATCTTTCCGTCAGAAAACAGTAACAAGGGGAAGTGCTTGGGTCCGAACCTCAATGTTTCCGCCCCTAAAATGGCAGTACCTCCCTGTCAGACCAATTGGCGTTGAGAAGTAAGGGGTGGCATGGGGCTCGGGGCTCCCCAACTCCGCGCCTAAGGCAGCAAATACCCGGGCCGCGTCTCCCTCCGGGCCGCGCGGGGGCGCTGCGGCCCGGGGCGCTGCGTGGTCGCGGCAAGGGGCGGAGGGGCGGCCGCGGGCAGGGAGGGAGGCGGGAAGATCGAGGCACTTCCGCTAGCCGCTGGCTCGTTGGCAGCTGCTCGAGACGACGGCGGGAGCGGAGGGATCGCGCGGCCCGGGGCCTCGCATTCCCCGGCCCCCCTCCGCCCCACGCGGCCCGGACCATGGTTGCCAGGTGGGGGGCTCCGGGGAGGCGAGTCCACGTGACCGAGCCCCGGCACCACGTGACTGCCGCTTCTCAGCCGGGTGGTCCAGATTGGGTCCCTGCTGCTGAGCTGTGGGCCCCACCGAGCGCTGCGGGGAGCCGACGGGACCGGCGGGGGCGGGAGCGCGGCGTGGGTTTGTGCTTTTCGGGGGACTTAGAGAGTGTCTGGCGGAGCAGTTGGGGAACCCCGGCGCCCCGGGAACCTGGAGGGCGGGGGAAAGGAAGGGGCACCGCCTCTGGCCGGAGCAGCGGGCGAGCGCTAGAGGGAACAGAGGAAACCTGTGTGGCCGGAGGGGCGGGTCTGTCCCCGGGGAGGGAAGAAGCCTTGCCTGGAGGCGCCGGCCCCCCAAGGAGAGAGAAGCTCTTTGTCCCAGCTGGGCTGCAGTAGAGGGGGGTGGGGAGGTGACTCCGGTTCCTTCTCTAGTGTGGTCACCTCTGCAGAACCCAGTGGATGATGAACCTTATGTCCGTTGTCCCCGCAGGTGGTGGGCAGTGGCGTTGCTGGTTGCTCTCCCCTCCCTGGGTGCAGGTGGGGATACCCCCGAAGCCCCTCCGGAATCATGGACCCAGCTATGGTTCTTCCGCTTTTTGGTGAATGCTGCTGGCTATGCCAGCTTTATGGTACCTGGCTACCTGCTGGTGCAGTACTTCAAGAGGAGGAACTACCTGGAGACAGGTGTGTGGGGAAAGGGTGCAAGGTCCGTATTAGGTGTTAGCCAGCCGTCCAAACAAGGATGTAGCTTGGAAAGAGGGAGGGAGGGCGGGCAGCAGGCCCAACGCAGGGCAAGCTGGCTGCTCTGGAAAAGATGATGAGGTGCTAGCAAGAAGACTGGGGCTTGACCTTGTGTGCCTTCTTCAGGCAGGGGTCTCTGCTTCCCTCTGGTGAAAGCTTGTGTGTTTGGCAATGAGCCCAAGGCCTCCGATGAGGTCCCCCTGGCTTCCCGGACAGAGCCAGCGGAGACCACTCCCACCTGGCAGGCCCTGAAGCTGCTCTTCTGTGCGGTGGGACTCCAGGTAGGTAGGCAGGCAGGCAGGCTCTGCTCCTGTTCCTGTGTTGGGTCCGGGTCTGCTTCACTGACAGGGTGCTGGTTGGTGTGTTTTGTGTCCAGACTGTACTGCCATCTTCTTAGAAGTGCTTGGAGGAAAAATAATTTTTCTTCCTCCTTTTTGTGTGTGTGTGATTTCTACTGTGCTGTATTACACTGCCCTCTGCAGTGATGTGTTTCATACACTGTAAACCCACTGAAAAAAGTTTGGGGAAGCTATTCAGCTTTCCCCCACACTTATGTGAGAGGGGACAAAGATGTTGACCTCATGGCATTTTTGAGTAAATGTTACTAGGTCCATGCATCTCATAGAACATGTTAAACTGAGAGAGGTGTCCAGTCTTCTCTAAGGATTCTTGCCTCCCTGAATTGGTCGGGAGTAGACAGGAAAATACTTGGGATGCAGTCAGCCCTGACCAGCCCTCCTGTGGGGACAGATGGGGTCTGGGCGGTTCTAAAGCACTTGCGTTTCACATCACACACACTTGATTCCCTACAAGATGAATCCAGGCTTGAGAGGGAAGGGGAAATTTTTGGTTACTACAGAGGAACCAAAATAGATACGCTGTCCTTTAAGTCATTTAAATAGCATTTTGGGGAAGAGGGGGGTTGTTGAGATCCTTTCTTGCCAGCCTTTTCCTTTTATCTTTGTTTCTACCCTCCCCGTACCCAGGCATCTTACCTGACTTGGGGAGTGCTGCAGGAAAGAGTGATGACCCGGAGCTATGGAGCTACAGCCACGTGGGCAGGTGAGCGCTTCACAGACTCTCAGTTCCTGGTGCTAATGAACCGAGTGCTGGCCCTGATCGTGGCTGGCCTCTACTGCCTTCTCTGCAAACAGCCCCGACATGGCGCACCCATGTATCGGTACTCCTTTGCCAGCCTGTCAAATGTGCTTAGCAGCTGGTGCCAATATGAAGCTCTCAAGTTTGTCAGCTTCCCCACCCAGGTGCTGGCCAAGGCCTCTAAGGTGATCCCTGTCATGCTGATGGGAAAGTTGGTGTCTCGGCGCAGCTACGAACACTGGGAATACCTGACAGCTGGCCTCATTTCCATTGGGGTCAGCATGTTTCTGCTGTCCAGTGGACCAGAGCCCCGAAGCTCCCCAGCCACCACACTCTCAGGCCTGATCCTGTTGGCAGGCTACATTGCCTTTGACAGCTTCACCTCAAACTGGCAGGATGCCCTGTTTGCCTATAAGATGTCCTCAGTGCAGATGATGTTTGGGGTCAACTTCTTCTCCTGCCTCTTCACAGTGGGCTCCCTGCTAGAGCAGGGGGCCCTCCTGGAGGGGACCCGCTTTATGGGGAGACACAGCGAGTTTGCTGCACATGCCCTGCTGCTCTCCATCTGCTCTGCATGTGGCCAGCTCTTCATCTTCTACACCATTGGACAGTTTGGGGCTGCAGTCTTCACCATCATCATGACTCTCCGCCAGGCCTTTGCCATTCTCCTCTCCTGCCTCCTCTATGGCCACACCATCACTGTGGTGGGTGGGCTGGGGGTAGCTGTGGTCTTTGCTGCCCTCCTGCTCAGAGTCTACGCCCGGGGCCGTTTAAAGCAACGGGGAAAGAAGGCTGTGCCCATTGAGTCCCCTGTGCAGAAGGTTTGAGGGATCTGAGGCAAAATGAAGACCCTTTAATTGTACTTTACCACATCGTTTTCCCACTTCTACTGTAATTTATCAGAGGCAACCAGTGCAGGCATTTTCTCCGTATCGCAAACCAGCTCTGCAGTTAAGGATACGGAGACCAGGAGGCAGCCTTCCCTTCTGCCTTAAGTCACCAGTGTTCTACGAGGCACAATTCTTGAGCCCCAGGGTAGAGGTACCTTCCAGTGTTTCCCCCTGAAGTTCCCTGGTCTTGCCCATTGGCACTGCTACCAAACTCATCTGTGCTTGTCACCTGCCCCAAATACACACCCTTTTATTAGACTTCCCTCCCAGACCTACATTTGGTGGCTGTAGGCAGTATGCTGCTCTCCTAGGATAAATGAAAGCTGGTGCTGTGCTAGGGGAAGGGGAGAGCCGTACCCAGCAACACCACCTTCTGTGCTCCTGGATCCCTGGGCTCTGCTCCATGAGCCAGTTGCAGGTTTTGGTACCTTGGAAGTGTAACTTTCTGCTCTCATAATCTTATTTTATTAAATTGCTTCAATAGGCTTGGTCCTGTGTTTTGGGTGACAAATACATGCTTTATAGAGACTGAAATGGTATGAACATGGTAGTTCTCTAGTCAGTGTTGTATGACTTCAACTGCTACTGATGTGCTACTGTGTCCAGTGAGACTGCTGAGAAAGTATATCTAAGGGGACTCTGAAGGCAGAATTCTACCCACCTTGTGAGAGCAAAACTATATAAAACTACATCTTCTTTATTTTGCATCCTTTAATTTCAGAACAAAATAAAAATACACAACAGCATCCAAACCCAACGTCAAATGAGAAGGGAAGGCTTGAGGCCCTCCTAACCTGCTTTAGGCAAAGACAGGAAAAAACCCCACTAAACAGCAGAGGAAACCAGGTGGGCTCAGGCCACTCAGGGCTGCAGGGGAAGCCATGAAAACACTACACAGAGGACACAAGGTCTGCAGGTAGAAACTCCTAATCTACTTCTTCCATGCGAGAGGCATCCTCATCACCCTCAAGGGGGGGGATCTCATCAGGAACAGCAGCACTGGGTTCTTCTGTTGTCACTTCGTCTTCATCAATCCCTAAAAGAAAAAAGTGTCACAAGATTTGACCCAAGTTGTAGCTATCCCCACAAGACCAGCTCCCCAACTCCTTGTCACAACTCGGGTTGGCAGGGATGCTCACCTAGGCCCAGCTTGATCATTCGATAGATGCGGTTGGAGTGGGTCTGGGGATCCTCGAGTGAGAAGCCAGAAGACAGCAGCGCAGTTTCAAACAACAACACCACAAGGTCCTTCACTGCCTTGTCATTCCTGTCTGCCTCTGCCTTCTGCCGCAGAGTCTCCACAATGGGGTGGTCAGGGTTGATCTCCAGGTGCTTTTTGGCCATCATGTAGCCCATTGTAGAGTTATCACGTAGTGCCTGGGCTTTCATGATACGCTCCATATTAGCTGTCCAGCCGTAAGTGCTAGTCACAATACAGCAGGGTGAAGACACAAGCCTATTGGAGATTGTTACCTGTAGACAATCACAAAAACCTTAAGTTTATATTAAACCAGCTTACCACTTGGAGGTAAAAGGGTATTTTAAGTTCTATTCTCAAAATTGCCTAACCTTTGCCAAATTTTGGCAACCTTAAACTTGCCTGCTCAAGAAAGCAAGAGGTCAGGTGGATCTTAAATTAGGTTGCTTAAAACCACTCTGTGTAGCAACACCAGGTTCTAAGGGAAACAGTCCTGGAGGCCTCTGTTACAAGACAGATCAGTCTCAGAATTGCTTACCTTCTCAACCTTCTTATCCAAGATCTCTTTCATGAGTTTGCAGAGATTCTCAAACTTGGCCTTGCTCTCTTCCATTTTCTTCTTCTCCTCTTCATCCTCAGGTAGTTCCAGGCCCTCCTTGGTAACTGAGACCAAGCTCTTCCCATCAAACTCCTTGAGCTGCTGTACACAGTACTCATCGATGGGCTCTGTCATGTACACCACCTCAAAGCCCCGCTTCCGCACGCGCTCCACAAAAGCAGAGTTGGCAACTTGCTCTTTGCTCTCACCTGTAGGGTTATTATTGAATTCAGACCAAAAAGCCTCATACCACCAGTTCCCAGGCATCCCTAAATGTCCCCCAAATCCCTACACCTTAGACTCCAACGCACCAGTGATGTAATAGATGGACTTCTGGGTCTCCTTCATGCGAGAGACATATTCCGAAAGGGAAGTCATTTCATCCCCAGATTGGGAGGTGTGATAGCGCAGAAGCTCAGAAAGGCGTCGCCGATTGGTTGAGTCTTCATGAATTCCAAGCTTTAAGGGTGGAAAGAAAAAAAAAACAATCTCACTTGGAAATAACCTCTTATCCTCTATTGTGAATATAAAAAAAAATTCCATTGTAATCTTAAAGTATGCATTTGCTGCCTCCTTACCTTTAGGTTTTTAGAGAATGCCTCATAGAATTTCTTATAGTTCTCCTTGTCTTCTGCCAGCTCAGAGAAGAGCTCAAGGCACTTCTTAACAATGTTTTTACGGATGACCTTCAGGATTTTGCTCTGCTGGAGCATCTCTCGGGAGATGTTCAGGGGCAGGTCCTCAGAGTCAACCACACCACGGATGAAGTCTGCAATCACACACAAAGCAAGCTCAGTTAAAACAACAGGTAGATGAGGTGGTTCATCTAGATTCAGCAAAATACATTTTTCCACTGAATCTTCCTTCACTGGCTATGTTGCAGAGAATCCTTATGTAAGAAAAGACTTCAGTTCCCCTGAGAATGCTTTAAGTGTCATAGAACTTTACCCAGCTAGGTAACATTAGGCCACAGGATACTCACTGAGGTACTCTGGTATCAATTCATCACAGCTGTCCATGATGAACACACGGCGGACATACAGTTTGATGTTGTTCTTCTTCTTCTTATTCTCAAAGAGGTCAAAAGGAGCCCGACGGGGAATGAACAGCAATGCCCTGAATTCCAACTGCCCTTCTACAGAGAAGTGCTGAAATTCAAGATAAGCCAACAACACATTTCAAGGTTATGCATAGCTTCTGGACCCAACACCAAATTATCAAACTGTTTGAAACAAAGATCTTCCCACAGAATGAGCACTGTATAGGGCAGCTGTTGAGAAAATTAATCTTTAACATCCTAAATGATCTAGAATACTACAGACTATATATAACCCTTGGGCCAATGAGAACAGTTAAAACTGAACCCAGCATGTGTTAGGCTACCATAGAAACAAAGAGGTGTCACTGGGAAGGATGTTATTTCTCCACCCTCAAAGTGTCATCCATAAACAAACTCATGTGGCTACACGCCATTCACAATTCCCAGCTACCAACCAGTTGTGCACGTTGCATCTAACACCATCGATGCCCTTCCACTTGTGCTCTTCTCCTTGAGCCACCATACAGGGTTTCTCACCTTGACTGCCAAGTGGTCTTCCCAGTCATTGGTAAGGCTCTTATAAAATTCTCCGTATTCCTCCTGGGTGATGTCATCAGGGTTTCTGGTCCAAATGGGCTTTGTCTTGTTCAGTTCTTCATGATCGATGTATTTCTCCTTAATCTTCTTTGTTTTCTTTTTCTTATCCTTAGCACTATCATCCTCCTCATCTGAGCCCACATCTTCAATCTTGGGTTTCTCCTCGTCATCTTTGTCTTCCTCTTCTTTCTCCCCCTTCTCTTCCTCTGCTTCATCATCACTGATTTCTTTCTCTCGTTCCTTCTCCAACTGCAAGTACCAAGGACAACAGTTTCAGAGTACAGAACACCAGAGAAAAGAAAAAAACCCAACAACCATGCAATTCTCCAGAGAAGCAGATACCATTCATGTGAGGGTTTCCAGTCCATACTCACATAAAGGGTAATGGGATAACCGATGAACTGTGAGTGCTTCTTCACCACTTCTTTGACCCGCCTCTCCTCTAAGTATTCTGTCTGATCTTCTTTAAGGTGAAGAATCACTTTGGTGCCCCGGCCAATGGGTTCACCTAAGAAATAGAGAGAGAAAGGCACTCACGATCTAGTGTAAGGAAATGAAACTAAATGCAGAGCTGTAGTGAAAGGTAACTGCTTTACAGATAAGCTACTTGAGATGTCTATTTCAGGTTTCCCCAGAATTCAAACTGACACCTTTACAGGAAAGCCAGCCTACCATGGTCAGCTCGCACTGTGAAGGAACCTCCAGCAGAAGACTCCCAGGCATACTGCTCATCATCATTGTGCTTTGTGATCACTACTACTTTCTCTGCCACCAAGTACGCAGAATAAAAGCCAACACCAAATTGTCCAATCATGGAGATGTCTGCACCAGCCTGCCACACACACACACACACACAAAGTCAAAGTTTTGAAAAAATAGAAAGCCAAAGGACATGCATAAATGGTGTGCCTAGCTGAAAGACCATATACCTGAAGAGCCTCCATAAATGCTTTTGTACCAGACTTGGCAATGGTTCCCAGATTATTTACGAGATCAGCTTTGGTCATGCCAATGCCTGTGTCTACCAGAGTCAAAGTGCGCTCCTGGGGATTGGGGATGATGTCAATTTTCAGTTCTTTACCACTGTCCAACTTGGAAGGGTCAGTCAGGCTCTCATAACGTATCTTGTCCAAGGCCTAAAAACACAAGTTATCATTTGTACAGTTCTGCTTTCTTAAAACCCACCTCTTCACCCAAAAGAAAAATTTTTTGCTATTTACTCCCAAATAGCCTCAAATCTGCTAACCCTTAACTTGAGGTTTAAGAACCACATACAGCTGCCTACAATATTCCAGCTATCCACATAAACCAAGACAAGCTTTTTTTTTGAACACCAGGTTTATCCCCCTTCAATAGTAAACCCCACAAAATCCCCTAAAATAAAGCAAACACCACCACCCATGAAGACCTGCAGGGTACTCACATCAGAAGCATTACTGATCAACTCCCGGAGGAAAATTTCCTTGTTAGAGTAGAAGGTGTTGATGATGAGAGACATGAGTTGGGCAATTTCTGCCTGGAAGGCAAAAGTCTCCACCTCCTCCTCTCCATGGTGCACTTCCTCAGGCATCTAAAATTTAAAAAGTGAAAAATTACAAAGGAACATGATGGCCTGAATTTAAGACTACTAAAGTTCACTCCAATTATAATGAAGACATGAAAAATTTTAGTTCAAACTGGTTTGAGCTGAGTACTATCCATTTCCAAGAAACTAAAGAGCCCTTTCCTCAAAAATTTCAAGCTGTAGACCTGAAACCAATTAATTGGAAACCAACTGAGTGGGCAGAAAGGTAACATGTTCTTCAACAAAACACAAGGTCAAGGCTTTTGGAGGTCAAACTAAGCATCACCTAGCAACTTCTTAGAAATGCAGAATAGTGACCCCAACCTACGCTATCTCAAATAACACTCCCTCGTAATCCACATAGATATTTGAAGTTAGAAATCACTGACTACACTTATGTTACCTTTTCTGGTACTAAGTGAATGGAAAAAAACCCAAGATCACTAGTTCTACGTTACACGGTAATGATCTGAAACTGCTCCCTCATTAGGCAGGTGCTGCCTGACCGGTAAGGGAGGATAACCTCTGAGGTATCTGTGGGATACCAGTCTGGGTATCCATTATTAGGACGAAAAAACCCCAGTGAAACAAAAAGCTCAATCGTGATCCTTCAGCACATGTGACTATATAAAGTATAGGGCTAGGCCAAACACAACTAAGATGGTGGCCTTGGTCCAACAGGCCGACCCTCCTCACAGCAGGACAACGGTCAGCCTGAAAGACGCGAGGAGGGGGCGCCACCGCGCAGCCTCCCTGCGTCCCAGCATCCGGGCACCTGGGCGGGGCGCGCTGGGCTCCAGAAGCTTCCAGAACAATCTCAGCTCTGGGGTGGGGGGGAGGGGGGAAGAAGGAAGGAAACCAAGATTAATATTCCCGTGCCTGCCCCCTTCTCTCCTCCTTCTGCAACCAGACTGAAAGATCTGCAAGCACGATGGGCCAGTGGAGATCTAAACCCTTCCTAGCCGCGGCCCGTCACATTTGAAAAACGCGTCCTAGAAAGAGCTATGGCAAAGCCAGGCCATACCACGCTGTGCTGAGTCACTCGAGTAGCACACCTACCACCCACCACTCCTGCGGACCCTCCAGCCACCCGTAGCCGCGTCCGGAAATGAAGGGGCAAAGATGGCAGCGTTCCAGGCCGGCGCTGCCACCACGTGCAACGCCCACTACTGGCCCAAGTCCATTCCAAGGCCCACCTCAGCCGAAATTAGTCGCTTGGGGAAAACCCTGCCGCCTAAGCACATTAGTAAAAGCGAACTACAATCTAGAGCCATTGCCTCCCCCCCACCCCCCACCCTACCCAAGAAAGGCCATCTGGCACAACGAAATCTTTGAAAAGAGACGAACGAAACTCGAAAGGACACTCAAGATAAAAGCATTTAGAAAAAGGTCGTAACCTTACCTCGAGAGTGAAGAGATGCAAGTACTAGCAAGCAGGGACTATTTTTGGCTCACACAACGCAAACTGCGTGCGCGAGGTTGACTCAAGAGAAGGACTGTGTGCACCCAGCCGCTCTATATAGGGCGAAGCACACTCAGCTGCCCGCCCACGGATCCCTCCGCCTTAAAGAAGGATGTCTGTCAGCCTCGCACCTGCCGCCGCCCGCCCACCTTGACGTAATGGCCCAGATAGATAAGGAGGTGGTGAAGAGCGGGAGGGGCCGGCCTGACTCTTTTACGTGGTTCTACCGCCGCACTTCCAAGGCTTGGAACTAGGAATTGGGACTGTTCAGATGACTTAGTGGTGGTCCTAGAAGGGAGGATCTCGCAGATTACTCCAAACACCTGTGAGTCAGGCGCTTCCACCCATTTGAGCCAACTTCCACCCATTCGTGCCAGCTTCGACAGACACCTAAAAATGGGGAGTGGGAAGCGGCCAATCACTATGACCTTCCTTCCCAAGCTCGACTTTCCTCCTAGAATCTACCCTACACATTCATACGCCCCGGTAAGGGTAAGGGTTTGGGGTGGTTTTTTCTTTTTCCCCCTCCTGGGGATGTTGCGGAATTCCAGGTGCAACTACGGGCAGATCCCATATCCCGGCCCTCTGGTGGGCTGGAAGAAGGGCCGGCGTTTAGCCGAAGGGCGTGGCTTTGGCTAGGGGTGGGGGACAACCGGCCTGGGCTGGCGGGGTGGGGGCGGGGTGGACTCTTTGTCTGCGTGCGGCGGAAGGAGCGATGGTGGTTGTACAGCTATTACTTCCAGCAGTTTCCAAGCCTGACACGAGATTGCGCTCCCGCCCCGCCTACCCCGCCCCCTTCACAGAGGCTTTGCCCCGCCTGCTGCGGCGTGGGCCATATCTCTGCGGCGACTCCGCCCCACCACAGTTCCGCCCAGGTCCCAGCGGTGATTGTGTCCCCAGTCCTCGGTGCTCTAGGAAATAGCTTGCTGGACTCTCTTCGCCACCCACTGGGCCCAACTAGCCTGGCACTGCCTCCGGGTGGAATGGAGCTTAAAGGTAAAAATTGATTGACTCCTTCCTCTCCTATGTCAATCACACAGCACCCGGGTCTGCAGGCCCCGCCTTCAGAGAGCCGAGAAGCGGACTGGAGTGCTACTCGACAGACCCTACCCAGCCTCTGCAGATGCCCACGTGTGTGGAACGCAGAGACCTGCAACCTTGCTACATGAGCACATAGAGCTGTTTCTCAGTCTGGTTTCTTCTTTTAGCCCTCATCTCTCTGCAGCTGCAGAGGATGGTTGGCAGGACTTCTTGGAGGCTTCATGAAGAGGCCGGCTGTAGAGCCTCAGCTTCAGGACACCAGAACCAACTTGATTTCTTCAGCTGTGGCGCGCAAGTCCCCAGGCGGTGTGCCTACCAAACGAGCTTCAAGAGGCATGGGCCTCCAGGTTCTTCCAGCCAGGAGAGAATGGCCACTCCCTGCTCTGTGGATAGTCATCAAATTCCCTTGCCAGTCCATTTTGTCCGATCCTGGAATGCTGAGAATGGGTTCCTCCTACCACCACCCGCAGTCCTTCCTTGGTGCCCAGTCTTCCTTTCTTCATATTTTCTTTGTTCCTGTGTTGAATTCCAGTGAACAAAGGACCCTTGCTTTCCTTGCCCCACATTCCAGACCTCATCACCCCTGCCACAGCCACCCCAATTTCATCTCTCCTTACCCATGTAGTCCTCTTCATTATGGTCTGTGAGAAGGCTGAGGCTGGGAGATGTCAATGAGTGTGGGAAGCAGCATGGTGCTGGTGCCAGGAAAGCCCCAAGATGCTCCCTTGCTAATCAAAATCTCAAACTAGGAACATCATCCCTCAGCACACCCTCTCTGCCTCTCTGGCAAAAGGGGCGTAGCTAATTAAAAATCTATGCTAGAATTCACAAAGCAATCACAGTATCTCACAGCCTGTGAAGAGGTAAAAGTGAGTCTGTACATTTTATGGACAGGGAAAGAAAGGCTTCAGTGACTGCCCCAGGGTGGAGCATTTGCTCCACTAGCTCCCTTGCTTCCTGCTCCAGAGTAGTGGGAATGCTGTTCCCCCTCTCAGGTCCCAAGTCCAAAGCAGAGAAGGAATTGCTCCTGTGTATCAGTGTCAGGACCAGAGACTCCCCTGGTTTCCTAATGGAAAAATCTTACATCTTGCACCAGCAGAGAAATTTAACCTTCTCTCTGGAAGCTTTCCAAGATGATTTCCAAGAAGCCTTAACACCTGGGGGTGCAGAGGTGCATAAGAAGGACAGGGAGCCCTGACCAGTGTGGCTCAGTTGATGGGGTGTCATTCTGGAAAGCAAAAGGTCCTTGGTTCAATTATCCATCAGGGCACAGGTCTGGATTGTGAGTTCAATCCCCAGTTAGGGCGCATGTGAGAGGCAACAGATCAATGTTTCTCTTTCACATTGATGTGTCTCTCCCTTTCTTCCTTCTGCTCTCTCTAAAATTGAATAGTAAAATATAGTCTTTTTCTTTTAAGGATGGAGTCCTCAGCTCAGTGAGGACCACAGCAGGTCAAGTGTGAATCAGCAATGTGGGAGAAGATAGGGGACTTTCTAGCTCAGCCTGGAGAAGGCAGCAGGCTCAGGGCTAGGGCTAGCCAGGCTACAGTGTAGAAAAGCATGACAAGATGTAGCCCTGACAGAGGGACTATAGTCCCAGAAGCTTTGAGGAAGGTAGGAGGAGCTGAAAGTGACCCTTAGGGCAGGCAGGAGTCAAGTCACAGAGGGCCACAAATGCCATCCTGAGACATTCCAGCCCTAACTAAGGGTGAGAGAAGCCACCAAAGATTATTAAAGATGGCTTAAAACCCCCAGTTCTCCAGAAGCTTATTCCCAGCAGCACTT